AAAAACAAGTCAGGCCAAATACCTTTTAAGACCCATTGTTCTTTATGGAGTTAATGGCTTTGTTACAGGAAAAAAGTTGAACTGTTCAAGAGAACAAATTGATCAGAACCTAACACAGGATGAAAGCCTGACCTACTCAAAAAAAATATTTAAAAATAAACTTCACAGGGGAAGGTAAAATAATTAAAGTATTTGGGAAAGACAAAAGAACAAGTGAAGTACTGTATAAGCAAGGTCTATGATAAGAAATCTATGGCACTCTTGAGCGTCCTTCTTTTTTCCCCCATCAAAACAAATCCAGCAGGTGAATATTGCAACCAAGTTCAATGTCTCAGCTCAGATGTCTCTGGTTGGCCTTTCCAGTTCAAGCTCAGAAAAGATTACAATTTAGCAGCGGCACAATAAAAGCTTACTCTGCCTTTCCTTTCCCAGACTGCTGAAAGTGTTGTTTCCATCTTATCTTTCCCTAAGGACTTCTATCCCTGAAACAAACACCCCCACACAGAGAAACTCTTTATTATTTACTCCCCTTATTGTTTTCTGTCAACCCTGGGTACCACTTACTTGATGAATAACTTCTTCTCTCACCGTGGTAATAAAGCTTGATTCAGTGGGGTATAGTGCGCAAGCAAACATGAAGTCTTGCCAGATCTGAAACACAAAAACAGTGCTGACATTTACATGTTTAAATAGCAGGTCTTCAAACCCACTGCTCTAAAGCTCATGTTACAGATGCAGCCATTCAAAGTGCGCGGTACAAACCCATACCGCGGGCAACTCATTATGTCATACCGTGTCATACCACACACTACTAAAAAAAATGGAAAAATCCAGGTACACAACACAGGTAGTAAAAAAAAGCAACTAACACTTTTAGTTTTTCTAATAAGAGTATTAATATGAAGAAGAATAAATAATGTAATATAAAACAGCTGACCCTGGGCAGGGTATAGCTGATGATAGAACAGGTGAACACCTCTAAACTTCAGATGAAAGAACTTATGGCCATGTAGCTCAATGTGCAGAGTTTGCCTAGATGTAAAACAGAAAGAAAAGTGCAGAAATGTCAAGAAAGGACTTGCATTCATTACCATGATTCCTAGCTCGTCACAAATGTCGTAAAACTCTTCTTGCTCGTAGATTCCTCCACCCCAGACGCGCAGTGTGTTCATATTGGCATCAGCAGCAGATTGCAGGAGGCGTCTGAGGCTGATATTTTAGGGGTTCGAAAGAGGGACTCAGAAATTGAAGCCAATAAACAATATCAAAAGAGCATAAAAAACTGTATAGACTAAACTGTATATACTAGATCTTCAGTAGTGTATTGCTACCGAATAATGTCTATTGATTTACAAGCCTTTCAGTCTACTGGTCTTACATGGAAACTATTTTGGGACCAAGTAATAGGGTTTACAGAATAGTGTTTACTCGTTTTATCATTTCAGTTTTTTTTTACATTTTACGGTGAATTTGATCATTTTCTTTATTATATTTGTTGCTGAATTTGTCCATCATGTGCATTGAACTTTAGCTCACCTATGCAGAATACAACCTGAAGAGTCAACTCAGTTGAGAATGTAATTCTTTAACACTTTAACTCTCCTCTCTGAAGCACTGATAACACAGCTCCCAGGTTACAGACAGGTGTTAATACACAGAACATCCACTTTTATAGGACTACTCCAGTTTGGTACCCGGGCAGTGAAAAACGATGACATTCAGCAAATTTCTGCACAACTTCATTAATAAAGACTAGGGATTAGACCACATTAAATACTGCTTTACCACAAACAGGATTAACAGTCTTAGACCTGTGACACCTGCATCTTTACCTCTGAAGGGCAATGAAGGACAAGTGGCTTTAAATCAACACAAAGTCAAACACAGAAGTGATAAAACAGCAAACAATAGAAGCATAAAAACATTAGAAACACGTGGTCTAGGCCCACATGCATACAGAGATAACCTTGACCTAGACTGAAAGAAAACATGGATTCTGTCCTCTCTTAAAAAGAACGAGTGTGGTGACAACCAGATCAAATTGAAACTGAATCGAGTGGAACAGCTCACACGTCGGGAGTGACCCTGTCCTGAAAAGCATCAGCGGGAATCCAGTTGGAGCCCTTGAGGAACACAGGCCGCCCGTTGATCTTGAAATAAAAGCTCAGGCCAGGGGATCCGGCAACTGGCTCCTGCACCAGCTCCACAGTGCGAAAAGACACCTGTTGGAAGAAATAGTTTGGGCTGGTAACATCACACCACATCACATTACACAGATAAAGCAATGTACTATAGTAACTCTGTACAGTGTGTACATGACCACACATTTCATAGGCATTTCTATATGCAATAAAGCGTAATGCAGTTCTGAAACATCGTCGTACTTTGGATCATGCCTTCAGTATGTTCTCTCCACTGCAAACATCATCACATATTTGGTTCACAAGAGCATTGCTGTCATCTCTAAAAGTTACTGGAGGGAAGAATGAAAGAGCAGAAAGGAGGTTGTTAACTGAAGCAGCATATTTGTTCTTGGCACTAATGCACTCTAATGCACTGTTTGAATGCTTTTAAAATTAACACTGACAGATTTTTAACAAGGTGCATAAAAGGCAAATATTTCAGGGGCTTCAAATCCAGCACCCAAAGAGTCACTGTGTTTGGTACCTCTCCTTTAATGCCATTGAACCATTTATCAGCTAAAAGGGATGCTAACAGTTACCAAATGTCTTTAAAGTTTTGTTACAGCTTTAGGCGACTGAGAAGTGTCTCTTAGATTTTAGAGGAAGTTTGTGACACTTGGAAGAGTAAACACTTCTAACTTCAAAGCAGAGAGGATGTTTGCTGAGGATTGGAGAGGGGGGGTTCCTTGAGCAGAAACAATTGGAAAGTTTACCTTAGTATACCTAGGAAGGTTTATGGGTTAATGATTGTCAAGGAGCAGTACAGACACACACAATATAAGATCACATTAAGAGCACAGACAAAAGAAAAGGAAGAAACAAGAAGCAGGATTGAAGTTTGCACCAGGCAAGAGCCCCTACTTCATGATCATCCAAATCAAATCTGACTGGAGAAAAGTACTCTGTGTTCTTAGGGAACTTGGGTTGCCTTGGTAAACTGTCCTTGGACAGTTAGAAATGTCTTTCCTGCTTAGGGTGCATTTTTTATGGCTAGGGATATAGGCTCACATTTATTTTGTGGCATCAGGGGTGCAGAGAGAGATTTAACTGCAGGTTGCATTGTATTTAGTTAGAAGGCAGCTCATCTCTTATGTGGCCTCCATGGGCATATTAAGAGTTTAATGTTTACTTGCAGTCTGGGGTTTACTGGATGACCAGAATGTTATGCCTCTAAAAACCCTTGTTTGTAAATAATGTTCATAAAGTAACTTGTGTGTTGTTTGTTGTGTGTAGTGTAGTTTGTGTTTTATCATTGTAATAAATATTTGTTTAACCAAGTGTGCCTGGGTTGTTACTCCTCTCGACAAAGCTGTGCCAGAGAACAAAGAATTCACATGCTTCTAATTACACCAGCTGCTCGGGTATATTGCTAGGAAGCACTTACAAGTTGGGGGTTATGAATAATTATTTCACTTATTGACTAAACCACTTGGTCAAATCCTGATTTTCACCATTTTCGTAACCCCCCATTTGTAACAGTTTATTAAATAAAACATGCACTCAAGTCAATGTAGAGCTAACTATGTTTTCTTTTCAGCTCTAAAAAGAGCAAAAGTCTTTTTTTAAGTAAGAGAATTTGTGGGCATAGTGAATGCCAGAAAATGGACACTCCTGATTTAGAGCAATGGGAATGTCAATTAATCCAGAAAAGTTCACCTCAATAAGTGGCCTGAATTAAAGTTTGAATTTTAAGAAAATGTATCATGGTATAGAATTAGGCCATAAATGTACTGTGGACAGCTAATCAGCACTGTGAGGAGATGCGACTGCATGATAGGAAAACTGTCAACTGAAGATAGGTGTGTGTTGCTTTTTTGCAGGCACTCCAAACAGAGAGATTTAAAATTGATGTAAAACCACTTAACTCGCAGCTGAAATGATGTCATCTTTGTTTTAATAGTAAGATTTGCCTCAGGCCCTTCTGGACAGTTTTTAAGAGACGTGCTTACTGTGAATTAGAGCTGACACTACAAAACAAGAAGTTGTAATTTCAAGGGTAATCATGGGAGATTAACAGACAGCCTAGAGTTGCATTTCAACCATCAAAACTACTGAGGCATCGGGGCATTTCATTGGTTCTCTATGAACACTTTTTTGTTTTAATCTCTTTCCCCCTTAACTAGGCCTCCACAAAATTCCTGATTCACTGCTGACACATTCTGACTCACAGTGGAGCTCAGAAAAGCTTTAGTTTTTGGAGCTTTCATTAAGTAACACCACCCAGAACCTGAACTGTAAGAATTATTAAAAGATAAAGTATTGGTTGGCAGAATTTCAGACCAAACAGAACAGTTAAGACAATGACATTCCCCAACAATGTCAGAGTGAGGAACCAATGAAACCTGAAGGAAGTCTGTCGGGTTATGTATAAGATAAGATGAGATCGTTTTATTAACCATTTACAATTTCTTGCATTAGGAATTTGTTTTTTTCGCATACACCAGCTTGATCTCAATGAGACACACAGACAGGGAGAGAAGCTTGGGGTCAGAGCATAGGGTCAGCCATTTATACGATGCCCCTGGAGCTGGGGCCTTACGGAGAAGGATTCCTCTGCCAGCTGCAGAATTTGAACTGGCAACCTTCCAGCCACAGGCGCAGATCCTTAGCCACAGTGCCACCCCTCTGCCCCAATAACACAGCTAGCGGTGTGCTGTGAAACATTTGTTCATATTATGCTTATACACATTTTGATCCATGCTTCTATTTTAAGCAATGCTATTGGCTTGGCTAATTCAGTACATGATAGTTCATCTTAAGATAAAGTTTAGATGGCAAGCTGACTACTAAAATACAGAAATATTATCAACTTCAGTGTTCATGGCTGTGGATCAATAGTGCATCATTACATGCAATTTGAATTAAGGAAAAATCCCAAACTGTTGTCTTGCAATGAAGTTCCTAATAGGGTTCTTTCCATTTTAAGCTATACAGTATGTGCCTGTTTAAAACAAGCCAAAGGAAAACATTCAGAACATAGATATTGGCATCGCCCCATCATACAGAACCTTAAGTGCTGTTTATAGATTCCCTCTTTCATTATTGGGCACTCAGTACAGTAATACAGACTTAACACAGTATCAGCAATGTGACCATACAGACTATACATAATTTATTAAACTATGCCTGTGATTCTGTAAAATAAGTTCATAATGACTGGCAAATTCATCTTGATTTAGATGTGGGATCTGTGGACTATGATGTATCAACAAACAAAATAAGACCTACTACAATAAAAAAAGAACTGGCTGTTTCTTTATACTTGGATAATCTTTAACATTTTACTTGGAAAGGTAGTAACACAAGCAATTTTTAGGAATTTTTGGATTTGCAAGTATGAAAGTATTTCATTGAATAGCGAAACCCTGTACAGCCACTGTTTTTTGTTACAGGATGACTGTCTCCATTTCTGTCACGTGTAACAATGCTTAGTATACACATGCAGAGAACTGTAAATATTAACTATGCCATTTCTTTATTTATAAGCACTGCACATGAAAAATTCAGGGCATGAACCAGTATTTTTCTTCAACACTTCTAGCCCGCAGCAGGAGAAAACTGGCACTTTTCATCTAGCTTATCTAAAGGCACAGAAGCAATTCTTCTGTGATTACATTAGTGTCATCCTGTGACAGGCCCCTATTACAAACATACTCTACCACATGATCTTCAGCTACCGCTTTTTTTAACTCTAAAGTGCATCACAATATCAGAGATTCAGATCACACAATTTTGGCCCGTTGCAACACCCCATGGTTATTAATTGACAACAACAATATATTAGCAATGGTGATAATTTCTTGTACTTTTTGTACTTTAGTCTATCCAACTCTTATCAAGCTGTTTGAATAATTCTGCCCTGATATTTTTCCATTATATTAATACTAAAATAAAGTATGTATCTATATATGTATAAATGCATGCTTTTGTCTCTTAAACTGAAGAAAGGACATGCTTTCTATGCCTATTTCCCATTTTGAATTATAGCTTCAGGTGAATATACATTCTCATCTTTTTAGAAGTGTCTTGCCTGGGATTACATCATCCTGTACTGGCATGTCAAAACACAAGTCTTGATACATTAAGTTCATTACGTCTTTTTTTTTTTGCTTTTTAGTAAAAGCTTCAATAGTACTGGGGCTGGTTCCAGCACTACCATGAGGTTGAATGCACATGTAGTTAAGAGATATGACTGTAAACCAAACAAGGAAACATGATCTGTTGAAAACATGATGCATCACACATTCCTTTACTGAGTAACTGCTCAGTCTCCTGTCTAAATAATGAATAATAAAAGGTTAACCTCTGCCTATGTAATTGAAAGATCTGTAAATTAGGACAGTTTTGTTTTATTTTTTTGTAAACAGAAAAATGAAGTAAAACATCAATTATGAATCACCAAAGAACAGTAGATCTCCGCTATGCTACTAAAACCACAAACATACAGTATGAACCACTCTTTGTAGAATATATTACGTTCAACAAGTTATTTTCAGATGTTTCCATCTATATCAAGGAATGCATGAAAACAATGTAAGGATTATGGCTCTGGGGCACTATAGATATGTTCATTCTGTAAAGCTATTATAGGAAAAGGCTCAACTTTATTTTACTCAATTTAAAAATTGTAATTTTTTAAAATTGTAATTTGAATGAGAGATTTTAAAATGAGAGGATATGAAAATCTGTTTAGTACTGTGGTTTTGAATGCAGAAATTTACATCTGCGTAGGCCTATGAAGTAACATTCTTGTTTTGCCCACTTGTTTGCTATCAAGGTATTCTATAAATAATCACAACATACTTCCAATCTGACTACTAGTTAATGATAAAGAACTGATATTTCCCTGGCATGCTGCAGTTTCAGTTATTTCAGTCTTTAAAAGCAACCCAGAATAACTCAGGTTTCTGTTTTGATCATCTCCTGGACTGTCAAGAGGGATGTGCACAGATTGTCAACAAATATACATTTTTATCACTAAAAGCCTTTAATGTTTTGTAAGTTTCTTGTACAGAGGTGCTATTAGAAGCAGTCTACCATACATCCTGGATGAACGTATTCTCTGAGGGATTGTATTAATTTTTAGATGGAAAAAATAGCTCTGCAGAAAATTAATTTCGAAATTGCAAACATGCTTAAAAAATCTGTCCAGAATCTAACCTGTTAGCTTCTTCCCACTTAGATCCCAAATTTTACCTCTTTCTATTTGAAATATTTTTTGCAAATACAGTACAATCACATCCTTTCATTACATTTCTGCTTTCAGTTTCCAATGCCCTTCATAGCTCTTGCACCTTTGTGCTTGCAGGACCTGTCAGCACAGTGTATCTTTGCCATAATTTCAGATCAGAGAATGCTGAACTCCTGGTGGTTTTCTCAAGTAGGCTAAAGTGCAGAAGAGCAAGAAGTTTTAGTTTTTAGGTATGTTGCCTCTGGGTCTCCATCCCAAACTATATTAGGAATGCTGACATATTTGGATCGGTTTCAGTATCATCTATATTTATCTTATTTTTGAGCTGGGTTCATTGACGAGTTTATGGTCCTTGTGCCCTTGTTATGTGTACGGTCATTGTTTTTACTGTGAAACACCACAGGGTGTCTTGCATAAAGAGTAAGTACAGCACTTGTCCTTAGTGACCTCATTGCTTTATTCTTGTTATAGTTTATCTCATCTATAAAATCCTACTTTATAGAAGTGAACATACTAACCATAGTTTGAGCTTCAAGGGTGTGTCCTCCGGCTGTTTTCACCATAACACCAAGCTTGTACCTGGACTGGTTCCCCTGTCCATTAGGCCACCAGGGCTCCACAGGCATACTCTTAAAAACAAGCAAGAAAACAGAGAGCTATTAGGCATAGGACAGAGACATCTATTTGACAAAGATATTACCCCAGTTTCTTGCTGGCATGGGAGAGAAAGAAGAAAGGTCAGCCGACTCAAATCACAATATCCACCACCACAGCACATACACAGAAGGTGGGAATTACCTTTGTTTTAATTATCAAGTGAATGAAAATACTTTGAATATAAGAACCTAAGAAACTACGGGCATTTTTTAGAAATAATACTTTATTAAAAAAGGGCTTGTGTTGTGAAGGAATGCAGTACACTGACTGTAATGATATTCTAGCACAAGCAGGGAATTGTGGCAACAGATTAGTTGAAAGACTCTCACATCCATTCATCTTCGAACTGCTGCACCCAATTCAGGGTTGTGGGGGAGCCAGAGTCTATCCCAGCAAGCAATGGGTGCAAGGTGGGATACACCCTGGATGGGACACCATCAAACTATCTCACTCCACGGCCAATTTTCCCAGAAGCCAATTAACCTTCCAGGTTAAATTGTTTTTTGAACTGTGGGGAAGCAAACAGGGGAAACCCATGTGAACACAGGAGAAACATACAAACTCCACACAGACAGCTTTCCAGGTCCAGTATTAAACCCAGGGCTTCAGCGCTGAGAGGCAGTAATGCTAACCCACTGTGCCACTGTGGTCGCCATACTCTCAGATGTTTACATTTAAAAAAGTAAAAAATGTCTCATTTTTCAATGAATGATCACTGACTCAGAACTTTGACCCTGAAGAAGTGGAACACATAAAAACCCCAGCATGCCTTTCAATGCGTTTACCCACCCTTCTGATCAAAAGTATAATTACTAAGATATAAAAAAAAGTATCAACAGTACAATATACTATTAGAATATACTAGTTTCTGTTCATCTGTGAAATCTTTTTTTGTTAATGTGAAGATTTTGGACTAGTTACAAGGGATAATCTAATTATTAGGAATTATTTACTTAAATCTGAGAACTACTTTGATTCCATGGATACACAGCACATTACTTAATATAAATGTATACCACCCCACATTAAACCTACGTACAGTAAATGCAATAGTTACAAAAAAAGAAGGGCCTTCACAGGTTTCCATTACAACTGAGCTCTCAGAATTTAACTGAAGCCTTAATGGATTTTTCAGCAGCTACAGCTGTTTAAAAGCAAAGCTTCATTAAAAAGGCCCAATTAGGTAAGTTTTTCACTCATTTAACTGACTAACTGAGAGCTGTGGTGCTTCCAAAATTAGAACACATGATTGCTCTAGGACCAGAAAAGCAAATAATTCATTTATTCTAAATGTATGTTTTAATGTTTTAATAAATAGTGGTGGTCAGGGATATTTTTCAGAAAAAAGAAGGGGTCTAAACACATCATGATTATTGGGAGCGAGAACATTCTCCAGCCACTACTGTGAATTTTCACCTTGTTGATGGGAAGAAGAAATGTGCTTCTGCTTAGTCCAGGTTGAAGAGTGGCTTCAAAAGTCTTTTGCGTCTCTAATTGAGGAATGAGGAGAGTCACATGACCAACAGCCATTTCAGCCACATCAAAGAAAAGCTCCACTTCAACACTCCACTGATTGATACTGGGGTCTGCAAATGAACCAGGAAATAAAGCATAACACTTACTTTCCCATAGTGAGTAAATCAAATGTAATTGGAAAAAAATAAATACTACAGCAGGATCCAAACCAAATGCAATTAATTAAAAAGCTTCATTCTTTTGATGTAATCTGCACTTGTCAAAGTAATCAGACCCATGCAAAGTTTTCACTTTTCAAAAACTGTAGTTATGGCAGCTTGAAGAAGTAAGTAATGTCTGATATATGCACAAACTACTCCTCACGTTCACAGCAAAAACAAAAATAAGTATATAGTCAATCAACGTGAATGGAAAACAGAAAAGTCACAATTGCATAAGTATTCAAACAGAATTATGCTAATGAGCCACACAATTATTTGAAGAGGTTCTATCTGTTCACAATAATAGTGGTTCAAACAATTTCAGAATAAATACACCTGTGCCCTGGAATGTCCCTCTGTCAGGTAATGAATTTTTATTTTACTCAGTTGCCGTATCACCCTGCAACTCACCATTGGCAACTCACTGAAGCTAAGCAGGTGTGAGCCTGGGCCAGTACTTGGATGCGAGACCTCCAGGGAAAAACTAAGGTTGCTGCTGGAAGAGGTGTTAGTGGGGCCAGCAGCGGGCGCTCACCCTGCGGCCCATGTGGGTCCTAATGCCCCAGTATAGTGACGGGGACACTATACTGTAAAAAGGCACTGTCTTTCGGATGAGACGTAAAACTGAGGTCCTGACTCTCTGCGATCGTTAAAAATCCCTGGGCATTTCTCGAAAAGAGTTGGGGTGTAACCCTAGTGTCCTGGCCAAATTTCCCATTGGCCTTTACCAGTCATGACCTCCTAATAATCCCCATCAATTGGCTTCATCACTCTGTTCTCCTCCCCACTAATAGCGTGAGCGTACTGGAGCACTATGGCTGCTGTCGCATCATCAACGTGGATGCTCCACGTCCATGGTAGTGGAAGGGATTCCCTATTACCTGTAAGGGCTTTGAGTGGAGTGTCCAGGAGAGCGCTATATTAGTGTAAGGAATTATTATTGTCCGAGATTCAGCCATCCAGGCTGTCCCTCCAACTTGACCAACCAGGAGAGGAAGAAACTGGTTAGGACGACCAATGTGAGACCATTGAAACTTGACTTGCAATGGTGACTTTGAAAGATTTTACGAAGCTCAGGGCATCTTTGAGATGGGCAAAAATGCCCAAGGGTCAACAATATCCCAGTCGCTTATATTTTTCAAAAAGTATTGTAGTCAAAACTGGGTGTTTTTGGACTAAATGTAAAGTATTACATCTGACACAAATTCAGGATAGTACATCATTTAGTGAACACCATCATTAGTTTCAAGCATGGAGGTTGCAGTATTATGATATCCTACTTTTCATCAGCAGGGACTGTGAAGCTTGTTGAGACTAATGAGAAAACAGGTGGAGTATCTTAGAGGTAAACCTTCCTCAGACAGAACTGGGGTGAAAACTTTCAGCAGTCCAGTCAAAGTCCTGACATTGATCTTACAGAGAATCTGTGGAAAGCCTTGAAAAACTGGTGTCCATACGTGATCCCCAAACAACCAGAGAGAGTTTGCATAAATCTGCCAAGACAAATGGGCAAAAGTTGCACTAAGACTCCCTTGTGGTTGGAACTCCTGCCAAAGGTGCTCCCATCATATTGTAATGCAACGGGGGCTCAGGCGGGCGCCCTTGCCGCATCTGGTCGGCCCAAAGTATAGGTGGCTCGAACCCGGGACTTCCGCGTCTCTCTGCAGCGACCTAGCCCCGTGAGCCAAAGAGAGATCTCTCCACAGCCCAGTAGCTGTGGTCCTGCTATCACAGGGAAGGGCAGTGACGTCACCCGCTCTGGTACGCCGGCTCTTACACACGGCCGTAAGCGTTACAATATATAAAGAAAGTGAATACTTATGCAATCAACACACTTTATTTTTGTTCTTTAGTTTTTGCGACCTTTTACAGTAACTTTAGAAGACCTTCACTGTGACCATTCAGGTTTAGAATAAAATATGAACTTTAAACAAATGTTATGCATCATTTTGTAGTTGGACAAAATGGGAGACCATAGGAAAAGTCTGAATACTTTGGCAAAGCTCTGTACACATTGATCACTAAATAAGAGTGCTTCTTTCTGTAAATAGAAGTAAATACGAGCACAAGGCATTGTTACTCTGGGCAGAGAGAAGCTGTTATGAAACGGAACCATGATAATGTATTTTTAAAAGGCAAAATATTTTTTTTTCCCCTTTTCAGATTGCATTTTCTAATTAAAAACATTTTTTGGCTGCACATCTATTGTGCGTGCTAAATTCTCCTGTTGAAAATGAAAACCAACAAACTGTATTGTGCAACTCTGCTTACTAATAACACATTCCAGACCCTATCTTCATTGGTATGTGCCACTTGATATGCTTCAACATACCATAGACTGGAGTGGTAGTGAGATACGTCAACTGGAACACATCATAGGCTTCAACTTTTATGGCTCTCCAGATTCCTTGTGTTGGGAAAGAAGGGCCCCAGTCCCAGCTGAAGGAGCACTGCGCCTATAAAAAATATCAAGTTTGCTTAAAGGTGTACTGTATAAATAGATTCACTGGGCTCTAGCAGGGGGGAGGGGAGTTTTCTTTTGCTCAAACAAATTTCTTGAAGCCAAACCCACGAACATTTCTCTGCAACGTCTATGGGAAAAGGACGTATTTACTTTGAGTATTATAGCCAAGACACTTTGTCAGAAATTCTTCACAAGCAATAATCAATCGCCCCCATTTTGTGTGGCTAGCAATGTAATTTTCTTTTATCATTAAGATTAACCCAAAATGACATGCACACAGTCCAAACCAACAATGTTTGCTTTGCTACTGCTAGCTATAGCTATATACTCTCTTATAGCTGAAAAAATACAGTACATAATAATGCTATTTAAACCAAAAATAGAAGTGAATATACATTATGCCTCCGTATCATTTGCAAAGTTTCAATACAAGTATCAAGAAAGAAGGTGTGGTCCCTGGTACTGCAACTTATTTTTATTTTTTTTGATAACACAGGGTGTAGTTTTGCTTGAATAATTGTTTTTTTTTTCAAAGAAAGCTCTTTCAGAAGACCATGTTAATGACACACTGCCCTGTCATTCCCCTAGAAACAAAGCGTTAAATAGGAAGAACAAAATGAAGGAAATGTAATAATTTAAATAACTATAACTTGCCTTCTGAACATGAACTGCCTGGCCATGAAACAAAGTATCTTATATTTCGTCATCTTTCAAGAAAAGTTTTGTTTTAAACAGACAGCAATTGGAAGAATCAACTGGACATTTTTCGTACCAATACTGGGACTCGAAGAACTAAAAATAGGCCTACAGTTGTCACTCTCTCAACATTCTTAGCAACATGCATTTTTTTTAAATGAAAGTTATAATGTCCTTGGACTACTTATCCACAATAACAGTTCTGTTGGCTTATTCATTCACATTTTTAATGCTTTACATCTTTCTTACATCACTGAATACCGAAAGCAGCCAATACATTGCCTTGTCTCCTTGTGCAACTTACAGCTTTGTACAACTAAGCAATCTGTCGAAGGCAATATCACTTAAAGACTCCTAGAATTCCACTGGAACATCAACGGTTATCATATATGTTGCTTAAGACGTATAATTAAAGTAGGCCAATCACTTATAATATATTTCTTTCAGATTAGATGGAAAAATGTTGTACATTAAACTATTTTATTAACCACCTTTAAAAGCAATCACCTCAAAGCAACTTAAAAAACATTAAAGCACATTACATAAAAACACATTAAAGAAGTTAATAATTAAATATAAATAATAATTAAAGTTTTTAGGCTAGGCCTAAATGTCTGTGATTTGTCCACAATTTCTTTTGGAATTGTGTTCCAGGGCATTGAGGTATAGTAAAAATGGTAAAAGTTACAGTAAATCAAAATAATCTGTGCACAGGTCATGCAAAAGGGATAACTAGATAGCCTATCAGCTACATACTGGGAAGCCATGTAGAGCCTCAAACAGCAGAAGGATTTTAACCTTCTGCTTAAAACCTCACAGGAGGCCAGTGCAAGGCATCCAGGACAGGAGTGATGTGTTTGCTTGCTTATGAGCTCACTAGGATCCTGCCTGCCAAACTGTAAACATATTGTAACATAAATGCAAAGTTTAAACACGACCTAACACATCCTAAAAAGTACAGGCTAAAAAAATGAGCCCTGTGGAACACCAGGTATAACCAACCCAGCCTCCAAACTAACACTACCGTGAGAAATAAACTTTCAGCACCTAGCAAGGCAATATTTAAACCATTTAAGAGCAGCGCCAAAGAGTCCATCTGTCCAGCAGGTTAAAAAGTCAATGTAAAATGTCCAGATTCACAGTATTGAAAGCAGCACTGAAATTAAGAAAATGAAGACACCTGAATCAGTTGCAATGAGAAGACCTTTAGCAACTTTAACAAAAACAGTTTCATTCATCCATCCATCCATCCACTTTCCTAATCGCTTTATCCAATTCAAGGTCACAGGGGAGCTGGAGCCTATCTTGGCAAACATTGAGAAATGTAAACTGGACAGGACAGTAAAGCACACATGGACACAAATACACTCTCACACCAGAGCCAATTCTTACAGAACTCAATTAACCTACCGGAAACCAGCGCAAACAAGGGGAGAACATTCAGTGCTATGTAATTATCTAAAGCTAGACTGAAAGGGATCAAAACTTTTATCTGCACCGCTTCACAAGTAGACCAGTTAGATATGGGATAATTATCCAAAAACATAATACATGTTTTAGGCACTGGTATGACTGCAGGATTTTTAAAAGTTGTTTGCACCAGACCAGAGCTCAGGGAGAAATTCATCATGTTAAGTACCAAGGGTGCAAAGGGCAGAAGCATAAGCACTGTTAAACCAAAGTAAGTGTGCTTTACAAAAAGATACGGAAAAATGGTCTACATAGGTTAAGTGGAATTTGTATTTCAACCCATTTTGTTCCTGTTTCTTTACCGAGCAGAAACCACACACACTGATCATACCTTTCTGATGAAGTTGGCATGGCACTCCCCTTTCTGCACTGCGGGGGGGCAGTCGGGCGGGACTTTGTAAGAGGTATGAGCTGCGCTCTGCTGTGCGGCATACGCAACAGCTGACAGGAAGCTAACCTCAATGACATTGTTCTCCTTCAGCAGCCCAGTGACGTCGAAGGTCTAGAAAACATAAGAACATGAAAACAGTTACAAACATAAGAGGGCCAGTGAGCCCACCAAGACTGCTTGGTCACCAACGGAATATTGTGTACGCAAACAGAAAACATCTAATTTTATAGAGGCTGCACCTGCCCAACACTAAACTGAAAAAGAGCTGGTAGCTTAAAAACAAAGACCGGGAAAAACCTGCTTACGCCTACTTACATATCTGCGAAACATGTTGTCGGTCTTCCCAATGGCGACTCCATTGATAGAAATTGTGGACACAGTGTCCAAGCCTTCACACACCAGGTTGAACTTTTTTCTTTTCCTGTTGGTATTTTTATTAGTAGAAAAAAATCATTCTTAAATTCAGGTTACGTTTTAAGCATAGGAACACATTTCTCAAAATCTTTATAAGTGAAAGAAAATATTAATTAATAATTATGTTTAATTTGGGTCACTCTTTGGAATAATGGACACAAACTCCACATTAATTCCAACAGTTCAGCATGGGAAACCTTTGGGTTTTTTTCCTGAGCTACCTGCTCATTAATGTTTTGGATGTTCTAAGCAATACTTCAAAACCCATTGTGATGACATGGCACAATCGCAGAAAAAATAAAAATTTAAATAACAATAACATGCTTCTTAGCTTGGTCAACTAAGTTGGTGTCACTAACAATGACCACAGGTTCCTAATTAATTCAATTTAACCAAAACCCAAAGTACATGCATAGACAGACTGTCCCTCTCACAGCAAGAAACTACACAACTTCAAAACAATTAACATAAAACACATGACAGTAGTTTTGGGATTCAAAATTTGTTTTATATTATCAGTAACCAACAACTCCTTTCTTCTGTTTTTTGTTCAAGCTGAGAGCTGAATGAGTTAATTAGACCCATTGCTTACTTATTACAAATTAACAGCAAAACTAAAGGAAATCATATGCGCCAAATACAGTATAAGGTAGTGGAATAATACATTTTGGAATTCAAAAAGGAGAAGGACAATCCAACAAATATGGTGGTACTGTAAATGTCAGGTTAGAAAGATTTCAGGCATGAAGAATATATCAGATTTTTAACTCAGAAATTTCTTAACTACTTGAAAAAACAAAACAAAAAAATCTTAAACACGCCCATCCCAAGTGTCCAAAACAGTTAACATTAGGACAGGACTATTTCCAGCTCCAATAGTCGAGGCAGGAAGATTGCAGTGACATCAGTTAGAACACGATGCTACCTCAATTCAGACGAGAGTGAAAAGGTTCTAGAATAAGTCCAGTTGTCCAAGGCAATCCATCTGTATTCCAGATCATTGAACCTGTAGTATGGATCCTACACGGAAGTAAACAAAAGAAAACAGTCCGATAAAGGTTCTTTAACCAGTTATAAACAAAAGACAAGGTTGTAAAGAAGGCTAAAACCATTATGGAGTGTGTGGTTCACCCCCTCCAATATTAATTTTACACTACTCCTATCTGGAAGTCGCCTTTGCATAATAATATAATGGTAATAGACTCATGAAATCAGGATATCCACCTGCAATCTCCTTTTTAAAAGGTAAAATAAGTTCCTCTCATCTCCTCAAACACCACTGTACTGAATTCTTTGTTGGTGATGTTTGTTTTTGATGTATTATTGTGTTGTGTTGGACCATAAAACAGATTTCCCCGAGGGTCTTGAATTGAATTGAATAGAATATTGAATATTTAATAAGTCGCTTTAAGTCTAAAACTACATATTTAAACAAGCAACTAGGATGCACCCAGGGGCAGATTAACGAACAGGCTAGCATAGACTGTAGGCTAGGGGTCCGGGATTGATCACGGGCCCCTGATTGGCCAGAGTATTTTTTTAAATGGATCTGTGGGCTTGATCAGGGGCCCCTGATTGGCTGGGGTATTTGTTTTAAATGGACCTGTGGGCCCCCATTGGTCCACAAAAACGCTGAATAGTTTGTGAACCAATGATTGGTTAGATGCAACGGGTTCGCAGTTCAAATTTCTTTTGGCAGATTCATCGGGTGATCTCTAGTGCAAGTTTATGGTAGCTAACCTCAAAATGTGCAACAGAACATATGATAGTGGGGCACAAAAACGAAAAGCACAGTGGTTAAAAGAGCAGTGTGAGCAGGATCTTCTTAAAAAGATGGGCATCTTTTTAAGTAGATCCTGCTCACACTGTTCTTTTAACTGACTGGCCCTTTCAGATTGACTGGTTATTTCAAGTTTGCTGAGCCGTACCCAGATCCCGAGTTTACGGCTAACATAGCTGCCAGTTGCTGCCAGTGCTACAATAACCAAGGTCAGCTAGCCTGGGCGGAGGACGATCATGAGGACGAGCCAGCTCCCACAACGGGATCAAAGGAACATGAGTCAAGAGGCAGAGCCATCTGAAACGCCACCACCATCTCCACAAGACCAACAAGCCATGTCCGAGCCGCTGCAATGGCTGTTGCACATGCTGCCATGGAGCTAACAGAGACCGCAACAGAAGCTCCCACTTCCTAAAGCTCAGACCCAGCATGCTGGGGTAAAATAGATTAACAGATGCGGGCATACTGGGCTAAATCTGGCCCAAAATCGTGCCAAAGCCAAGACGTGGATGTTACAGCATCGGAAAGACAAAAACACCAAAAGAGGTCAAAAGAAAACTCGGAAATGGTGAGTGTGCGTCAAGAGAATGGCTGCTGTATTCCCGTTCGAAAGGTGCAGTGTTTTGTTTCGCATGTAAATTATTTGGGGATAGCGATAATCAGTACAGACTGACCGTAGGCTATAGTCATTCAATTCAATTCAATTTATTTTTATATAGAGCTTTTCACAACAAGGTTGCCCCAAGGCGCTTAACAATGCAGTTGATGATACATTTTGTGAATACAGAACAGAAGACCAGAATACAACAGAGGAGAGGAACAAGAAACTCCTTAGTAAGGAGAAAAAACCCTCTAGGGGTCCAAGGTCAACTGGCTGCCCAATCCCTTTGGGCATGCTAACATTATATAATTTTAAAAAGGGAAATAAACGAATGAGTGTATTAATCCATCCATCATGTCTTCTGTATGTCAGTACTCCATGCAGATCTCTGCAGACCAGCAAAATCCTCCTAAATGATAGCTATATCCACCATGCCCCTCTTGGATCCATGGCGGTGATGCAGCATCCAACGCAGATGGTGCCCAGCCAGGCACCATCCGGACATGTGGGGAAGAGAATAGGATAGTTTGGTCAGAACAAGGGCCTTGTAAGTAAGTAGAAGGATTTTGAAGTCCGTGTTGCTTAATGTAGCTAGCTTCACACTACTGGCTATAGTAACTTGAAAAATGCAGCCGCATGCTTGGCTTAACATGAAGTGTAGGAGAGCCATCGAAAGGCTATGGTTGCCTACGTTTTGCGCTGTGCTGATAATGGTCTAATAGATTCAGAACTAAAAAGACAGTTTGACAATGAATATGAGTATTGGACTAACGTCTTGAAAAGGGTGGTTGCAGTGTTGAAGGTTTTAGCAGAGCGAGGGCTGCCTTTTAAGGGGACACAGCGAAACGTTTGGGCGCCCCGACAACGGGAACTTCATGGGTGTCCTCGAAGTTATCAGCGAGTTTGATCCCTTCTTGAAAGCCCATATAGAAAAATAGCTAATCGTCGATGCAGTGTATTGACCGATTTGAGTCTATTGGCTACAATGGACTTGCACGAGTTTGGAGTGTCCAGCTGTTCTTGAAATAATGCGCTCAAACAAGGTGGTCATTGGTCTTTGCTGTGCTGATCTTGTTGTTGTGTATCGTCCGTTTCAAAGTAAGCATGCGCATGATTTCTGTTGTCAGCTCACAGATTGACTGTGAATCTGATTTATTGGTTGCATTGCCGTACTTACCTTACAGGCTATTGTAGTGTGTGTGTATTTGGGCTCCCTGTGTATGTGTGTGTTCCCTGCGTGTGACGCGTTACATTCTGTTTGAATCCTGTGTGTGACGCATTACATTCTGTTTGAATCGGTGGTAGCAGGCTCTTATTCTGAATGCATCACTGAATTATTACAAGATTTTTTCTCGCTTTTTTTCTGGTAATGGGATGGGGAAGGGGGGGTACACAATGTGTAGCCTAGGGGCCTCTGATCATCTTAATCCACCACTGGATGCACCAAGCAGTGGTGCCGAATTTGAGCAGCACTGTTAAGCATTGGAAAATATCCTCTATTTGGGATAGAGGATAATATTCTGTGTGCCTGTGAGCTTTTAGCGTTGTCAGTCACACTGACTTCATCACTCCTCTTGTTGTTACTAACTGTTAGGCACTATGGGGTTCCCAGTGTGAACACAGGAGGGTGGCTGTCACTGACAAGTGACATATTCCAGAGGAAGGCATGGTTGATCACCGTGGCCTCCAGGTTTGTGGTATGAGGGCTGCAGTCTATTCTATGGCTCCAAATGAGTCGCAGATACACATGATTGAAGAGCTTTTGTGATCACTGCAAACAAATGCCACAGCACATGTCATAAAAGTCTGTAAAATTAATAACAACTGTGAAAAACAAACAAACAAATTACAGCAACAAAGTAAAAACAGCTGGACCCATTAGATGTATTTGAGAATGTACCCATTTTCATTATATTCCAAACGATCTGCTTCGTTCTGCTAATCAATACTTGCACGTTTTAAATTTCTGCCAGGGCGTAACAATTTTAACAGGATGCTTTCCTGGAATGGATGACGTGGCTGTTTCTGCAGCTACACAGGGATTTAAGATACCCTGAAAACTGTCTATGTTACAGAACGTAAAGCAGGCAGGTTAGGCACCTATCACTGCTGGGAAGGAAAGTAGATCATCTTGTGGTTTAAAAAGACAGTACAGTGTGTTAAGTTCTGGTCTTTGCAGTCCAGTGAGCGGTGATGGGTTGGAATGACAATACAACTACACAGAACAAGCTGACTTGCCAAAAATCCCTTAGGCAACAATAAAACCAGGGAAACAAAAGGTTTTCCTCTCTGCCTTTCCCAGCATGCCGACAGTTTAATCAGACTCCCTGTCAGATTCTCAGTATAGCCAGCCTTTAAACAGACATTCTCAGATAGACTTTTTACATTCAAACTTTAAGGCTAGCTTTTGGTAGAAACCTGACAAGCTGATGAAATCATCTTTAATTTACAAAGCCCTGACTATGAACTGACCTACAAATGTACAGAGGACAGCTCAAGACATCCCCTAGCTAAAGTCAACAGAGTTTAGTTAGTGCTAAATACCCAACGATGTCTCAATAAGCCAATAAGCTCTCAGGAAGAGGATGACAACAGTTAGAGGTTTGGCGCTCTTTAAATAAAATTTCATTTGGGTCTGCCAAAAACAAACAGTTACATTAATATCAGTTAATGCAAAACATCTTTTGCATCAACCATCATTATTGAGCTACCTAACCAGAATTTCAACAATAACACTATAAAAATGCATTAAGGGGACTATTTACATTAAGGTTTGCAAACATTGTAAGCACCCCTGAAATGCCAGCAACAAATGTTAAGGCTCTATTTAAAAGATTGTGGTATTTAAGTTGGAGAAATGGGACCTGATGTTTTGAGTTACATATCTGCAGTGGATGTCCACCCCATTCCTTTCACAATGGTTCAGACTCAGGGATGATACTGGAACAAAATGCCTAGGGAAACAACTACACACCATGTGCATCTAACTTCTAACCTGGAGCACTATAATATTAACCCACAAAAGCTAAGCAGGTGTGAGCCTGGCCAGTACCTGGATAAGAGACCTGGGAAAGCTAAGGTTGCTGCTGGAAGAGGAATTAGTGGGACTATTAGGGGGCGCTCACCCTGTGGTCTGTGTGCGTCCTAATGCCCCAGTATAGTGATGGGGACCCAATACTGTAAGACAGGCACTGTGCTTTGGATGAGAGATAAAACTGAGGTCCTGACTCTCTGTGATCATTAAAAATCCCTGGGCGTTTCGAAAAGAGTAGGGATATTATGCCAGCGTCCTGGCCAAATTTCCCATTGGCCTTCACCAATCATGGCCTTTACCAATAATCCCCATCTATGAACTGCCTTCATCGCTCTATTCTTCTCCCCACTGATAGCTGATGTGTGGTGAGTTTACTGGCACACTATGGCTGCCACCACATCATCCAGGTGGGGGCTATTCATTGGTGGTGGTGGAGGGGAGTCTCCATTACCTGTAAAGTCCTTTGAGTGGAGTGTCCAGAAAAGTGCTATATAAGTGTAAGCAATTATTATTATATTAGTAAACAACTTTAAAGCAGGACGGTCCATGCCTTGTACACATGGCAATAATTTAATTTAATTTAATTTAAAATTTAATTCTTAGGTGAGTTTGCAGATTTTCTCTCATTCTTATGCCTCAAGTTTAAAAGGATCCTCATTCTAGAGGACTTTAATATACACATCGATTCAACCTCTTCCAGTCTGGCTAAAGACTTCCTTTCTCTTTTGGGATGCTTTGACCTTACTCAGTTTGTTTGTACCCCTACACATAACAAAGGACACACCTTAGATTTATTTATTACACATGACTCTTTTGTCTCCCACTGCTCTCCCCTTGATCTAGGCCTCTCTGACCACGTAGCCATTCTCTTCAATCTGGAATTACCTGTTTCTAACACTTCCCCCTCACGCTCTGTACATTTCCACAACTGGCGATCAATTATCACCCAAGGATTGCAAATTCTGTTCTGTCCTCCTTATCTTGTTACTCTTCCTCTGACCCTCTAGAGGACAAAATACAGTTACTTGACAGTGCTCTTTTATCTACCCTCAACACCTTTGCTCCTTTAAAAACTCGAACCATCTCCTTCTCTCGCCCTGCCCCCTGGTACAATGACCATCTGCGATCCATGAAGGCAGCCTCTCGCAAACGTGAGCGTAGGTGGCGTCTTTCCGGCCTAAATGTACATTATCAGGCTTACATTATCAGATTACTTATCTGAATATAAGGTTACTATAGAGTCTGCTAGATCCACCTACTTTTCTCACATCATTGAAAA